TTTTCTTTTATTTAAATATTATTGATAGTTAAATGATTGAAATGATGATTTTATGTAGAACTTGATGGAAAATAATATCTAATTGTAACAAAACATTACTGAGTCATATTTTATTTTACGATTTATGGTATTAATTATTAAGGTGAATGTACAGGTACCTATTTTAATTATATTAYGTATTTATGAAGTTAAAGAACAATTCAATTTTAATATTTTCCGAAATATTTAGACCTATATTGTTAACGGATAGAACAAAAAATACCTCAAAAAGAAACTGATACAAAATCTATTGATGTATACTGTATAATATACATTTGTTGAACAGTGATTATTTTTTCTAGTTATTTTGCACTTAGGTTACTTTTTAGTGATTTACATACTAATTACTAATTAGTAATTAGTAATTAGTCAATTAATTTGCTAAAATGTTGGTAAGTCGATTTAGAGATTGTTTATATGTTATTAATTTACGATTTTCAACAAAATGTTAAGTTTTTTCGTTCTTAATATTCATACCCACAGCGATTTTAAAATACCTATTTATATAATATATAAAATATAATGAGTAATATTAGATTATAACCGTAATTGAAATTTGTCCAATWTATTATAAATAATAAACAGATTTTTTTACTTTCTATCCAGCTATTATCAGCAGAAGGGTAATAACACTAACTATAGATTCGTAACACTCGACTTTGCCAATGACTAACTGGTTATAAAATTATTGAATGTATGAAATATATTGATAAGTTTACTTGGTTCTTTGACTCTCGACTGAGGATTTTAATTTCGGTTAAAACAACAGATTTATTTCATCGTTTAAAAAAAATCGAGACGATTCATACTTATCATTAGAAGTTTATATAATACTTTAAAAAAAAAAAATGAAAAATGATACCTTAATACGAAAGAAAAAAATCAAAAAATCAGTGGTATGTTAAGTTACGATTAGATAGGTCTGACGCATGCAGCCGGCACGTCGAGGCTAATGCTGATTCTGTTTGCAGCAACCGATGTCGTGGCAACGGAGCCCCGATAACAAGTTCTTGATAGGTCACATGGTGCTTAACAAGTCTGTTTGGGAGACCCCGATCAGCCCGTCTTCCAGTGCGGCTGCCATGTTGGGCCTGAAAATCACCGGTGGCAAATTCCTGTCGGCCACCGGAAGGAGATGTGCGATTATCGATCGCGTCCGGAAAGGCAGTACAGCTGACATGGAGGGAAATTTGAAACCGGGTTAGTGGGACACACGGCGTCTGGTGTTTCTCTTCTCCATCTATTGACGCTCCTTTTCCCCTCCCCAGTTGGTTAAAGAATCAAACTCATATTAATGAAAATTTCATTCGCAAAAGAAAAATTAAAGTCAGCTTTTAGACTTCACACAACTCATATTATCAATTTATACTAATACATATATTTTTACATTTACAATTACTTAAGGTTATTTAATATTTATACATAATACGGTTGAAATGATATTCAAATCACATTTCTTTCTCTGTATAGATGATAAAGAATAAAATTAACTTTTATAACTTTTCCCTGTTTTTACTAGTTGTAATATTATATAGATATATTCTTATAATATTCATTAGCACATACCAATTTAAGACATGGCGTATATTATAAAAATGAAATACAATTAATAATCATGCATTTCTAATATTTATAAGAATAAKAATTTTACTATTTAACACCGCTCAAATTAAACTTTTTTGTAGCAAATTACATTTTTAAATTGTTTTATACAAATGTTGACTGTTAGTATAACTTATTGGACATGAAAATTAATTAATTTTATTAGATTTTATTTGAATACTAATAATTTATATCAGAAATTCAGAAATTCAGAAATTCAGAAATTCCTATTTTTTTAAACCGTGATGTTTATAAGAAATGATTATTTAGAACACGGATATATTGATTATTGATTAAAAAAAMCTAACTGTTMTTTAATAATCAAGATAATATAAATTGGTATATAWTAGAACAAAACTTATTGAATTAACAATTTATAAAATGATTTAGTGCTATAAAATATTCGAACTTGTGTATATAATTTAATTACATTAGTTAGCAGTATATTTTTAGATTAGATTGAGTAATATACGGTTAATTGAATTTATTAAATACATTACAATATAATATATAATGATTTTAAAATCTAATATTTAATACGGGTTTGAAATTTAAATGTTATYATCTAGTCATCTGTCATAATCAGATGTTAAATTAATGAAAAATAAAATGCATAGTTTTATTAAATATATAGTGTTATTTAATACAGATTTAGTATTGTGAGATTAATTTAAAAAAATAATGTTATAGTTGTAGCCTACAGTTATTTATATTAGACAAAAATATAAAATAAATAATAATTATAAATTAAATTATTCAAAAAACGTATTTAATTGAATAAAATAATATTATGTTTTGTTAATTTTAACAGGCGACGAGGTGTTGGAATGGAATGGTTGTCTATTACAAGGAAAAACACAAAAAGAAGTATCAGACATTATTTCAGAATCAAAACATTTGCCACAAATTGAGCTCAAAGTGTCCAGGTCAATACTTCCGAGAAGAGCAAGTTATGGCACTCCAACTAAAGGTATACATTTTAAGAAGGTACTATTATAGTCCCTATTACAATAGCTATATTGATTAATGATGCCTGTTTCATTTGCTTTCAGCTAAAACGAGTTCAATGGGTTAGCGCGATTTCAAACCGCCCTACTGATGCCCCTGACCCCCATTAGACTTATAAAAATTGAACTAAAAATAACTATACAATTACAATAGCGATATATGTTAATATTTTTTCAGGTCTATATGATTTACGTAAAGATAAACCTTATGTAATGGTTACTTCGCCGGGTAGTCCAGAACATTTGGCTTCAAATCCAGCCCGGGTCTTAAGGGCTTCCAAAAGTGTTAGCGGACCAAATAGTTTATACGTCGGAGGGAAGATACAGGTAATTATAATAAATCAAATCTAATGTTCAAATACTGACCTTGTTGTTATTTTGTATGGGTGTTTTAGGTCAAATTAGGTTTTGACCCGCAATCACTAAAGTTGGTSGTAACTATAATGGCCGCATCAAATCTGTTACCACGGTCTGATGGTTCACCAAGATCAGCATACGCCAAAGTATGCCTTTTACCAGATACAAGTGAAAAATCTAAACGAAGAACTAAAACGATAGTGAATTCCACTGATCCTAAATGGAATCAAAATTTTTCATTTACAACTATGAGAAGGTCAGATTTAAAGTTTAAAGTTCTTCAAATTTCACTATGGGATTATGATAACAACCCTACAAATCAGTTTCTTGGAGAAGTACTGATCGAATTGGGGCTTAAGAAATTAGAAAACTTGGCTGAATGGTATCCATTGACTGCACACCAAGAAATAACTGTACGTTTTTTATACATTTATTTATTTTGCAATATATTATTGTTTAATTGTTTTGAAATAATATTATCAGGGAGAAGGAGGTATTACAATAGGTGATTATGATATGGAATACTCAGGAGAACACTTGTCTCCACCATCTACATTATCTCGACAATCAGATTCAGATGCTTCGGATGTTGATGATTGCTGTAGCGGACGACGAGTTGGAGCTGATGGTGCATCAATAAGTAGCCTTGGTAGTTCCATAAGGTATAGTTYGACATATAATTAAACGTTATATCATTAAATTAAAAAATTAAAAAATTGTTTAGCCCACCGCCTGATTATGATCATTTGGATCGGAGGAAAAGTCGTAGGGATATGTCACCATTACAAAAGTCATACGTGTATGGCACTACTCTTGAAAAAAAATATGGATATGAAGCCAGTTTAAAAGTAAATACCAACACTAAAATATGGGTATTAAATTTAAATATTAATAATACTAAAATATTAAAATATATAGCAGCAGTCCGTACCAATTCGATCTATAACAAGTGTTAGTCATAGATCGAGATCTGCTGCACCGACTGATTCTCCTAGCCAACATTCTAGATCACGATCGAAAAGTCCAACCATGCTCTCCGACAGAAGAAGTTTATCTCCTCCAGATTATAGGTATCCTGGAGGTATTCAGAGCTATAGGCAAGGTCCTTCAAGGTTCTTAGCTAGGTCAGCAACAGCTACTCCTACATCTACCCCCAAAAAACGTCAACTTCCTCAAATTCCAGGAACTATGCCTTCTTCTTTAGATGAACGAATTCCATATGTAAGTTTTTTAAATAGGCACTGTTTAAATTATTTAGATGTTTCAAATGTAAATATTTCAGTATTTTGATGACCAAACGTCATCGGTTCGAAGAAGAACGAGACAAATGCAACCTCGAAGAATTCAGAGTAGAACAGGAGGCCTTGGTAGATTACACCATTATGGTGGGTTAAGTGATAGTGATATACCTATGCAACAACTTCGATCTCTGACACCTCCACACGTTAGAGGGTCAATGATGTCCAGAGGAGAAACTGGAGATACTTGTGATATTGATGATAGCGACAGTGTTATCAGCAGTGCTTTATCTACGCAATCTGAACAGCCCAGATCGACGATATTTTGGTAAAGAAAACCTGATTGTCTTATCAGGATGTTAAGTTTACATTACTTATAAATAATCAAATCCAGTTAGAATTTAAGTATTGTGCTAGAATCATTACTCATCTATTTTTTTATACATTTAGATTTCTGATATTTCAAAGTGGCATATTGTGCGTGTTAACATTCCTTAAATAGAGTACATTTATTACATCGGCTCGAAAATTTATTAGTATTTTTCACAAACGTATTGATGAATGAGATAATATCTGAAAATCTCACGCCAATGTGTTTTGTCTTTTGCAGCTGCTGCAACGCCACCGATTACCGCTACCCATCAACGTCACATTCACCCAGCTGTAGTTTTAGTAAAAGTAGTAGCAAGCGTGATAGTATACATTTGTACCGTTATAATTCATTTCCTGCTGATTACTTTTTACTCCATCCGATAGACAATAGACCGGTTTTAACGGAAAATTCTCCGACTGAAAACCCAAAACCATTAAAAAAAACACGATTTAATTTAAATCATCTAGATAACCACGATCCTCTTTATGATTCCGATTCCGGGTTGGATATGCTAGGTTTTCAATCACCTACAGAGAGGCAAAGATCCCGTAGGAAAAGAAACCTTACTCTAGATTTAGGCGAATCAGTGTTAGACGTAGTGGGTAGCTATAGTGGCGCTGCTGTAGCGTTTAGTTATGCTTTAACCGACCCTTTAAATGCTATTGTCCATGGCAGTGATTATGGAGCGTCGCACAGTAGATCTGGATCACAACAATCTCCCGTAATGGCACCAACATCCGATAGCAAAAGGGCTCAATTTTCACGGAGCCTGTCTAATGCTGATGTACAGACAGATAACATAACCGGTATGATTACAGTGAAATTAGCTTTTTATTTTATTATTGAACCGATGATGTCTGGTTTTAGATTCTGGTAGTTCAGGAAAACGAAGAGGCGATTCGTCTTCCTTAACAGAAAGTGCCGGTAAAAGCTCAGCTTCTGGGACCAACTCTTCCAATTCCGGTATGGGCAAAAAAAGTGCATCAGCATCTCAATTATCAGCAACCGGTGAGTGGTACTCTCAAAAAAGAACCTTATACCACTCCATGACTAAATATGTTTGAGACAATTCTAATTTTCCTTAATAAAGTGAACAAACAGGATTGTGAATTCCTCAAATAAACCAATGAAATTATAAAACTATACATTGTAAAAATTGTTCTACCGGGCAATTTGAAGATCTCGGGTTTAAATTTTGATTAATTATTTCTAATTTTCGATAAAATTTATTTTGTAGACAACATTTAAAAAACTATTTACACTACAATACCTATATTTTAAAACTATTTATCAGATAGTTTGAGTATATTTTTTGAAATTTACGAGTTAATTTGTACCATTGAAAATCCAACGATTTGTTATATTTACAATGATCTGATACTTTTTTTTATTAAATTGTTTATATTTCTTACAGTTTATTACAATATCCAGAATAGTATTTTTTTTATTCAATTTGTATTTTTAATAGTTATGTTTATTGCCCAATGTGATGTTTTCGTAGTAAAATTACTAATTTTGGGCTGGATTTAAAGGGCGCAAGCGTAGGTTAGGTTTTGGTTCGAAAGGAAAATCTTCGTTTACGGTGCACAGAAGTGAAGAAGTGCTGCCTGGGGCAAGTCGACCCCTCGTCAAACAGCCGTCCAGCGTTTCTAGTGACGGTGAAGCATCCCAAGACGGCGAAAGGTTAATAATGTATGATATTTGTAATTTTTTATGACAAAAAAAACTTWAAAAAAATTATTACTATAAAACCACGGAGATATTGATGGTATCCTGGATGAAGACCAAACATGGTAAAACTCAAAGAAGCCTGTGTATATTGTCGTTTTGGTTTGATGATTTTCAAAATAAAAAATAAAAAAGAAGTTTGCCTTTGCATGGGGATTGGATCATCACTCGTGTACATATAATTTTTGTTGTAGAATGTTTGTGCAAACTCTGAACATATTTATGAAAAGATAACATCGTCGCTAGAAATATTCAATACAGTTACTTTTCATGGAAAATAATAACAGACGCTTGTAAATATTGCGAATTACAAACACCCCGGCTACGTCTATTGGTATTGGAACATTTTCAGTCATTGTAGACAGCCAATAGTCGTATTCCGGTTAGATGATCTTTCGTATTTTTCACTTAGTCATATATCAATACTTTAGGAGTTCGTGCATAGTTGTAGAAAGCTTTATTACGGTACATAATGAAGTATGGTTTTTCCACAGTACAAATATTATTGTAAACTGTATAAACGGTGTGTATAAAAATATATGGAAAAAATATGCGCCGGTATCACCTGAATCCTATAGCAGATCACTGTGATAAATCCTAATTACTAGAAAACTCCAATCACAATTTAATTGTTTCGGATATTGTTTTATTTGATTGATTGTTGGATAGAAGGAAGGAGCTCGAAAGGGAAACGCGGTTCAGGTGGCGGAGGCGGTGGCGCCCAACCCAATTTTAAGCGGTCCCAAGAGGTGGCCCCGGGCAGACAAGCAAGCCTCACCAGTCTTTCTAGCGATTGTCCAAGCTCGTAAGTAATCCTAATTCTCTCCCAAGTCATCCAAATACATCAATTTATCTCTATTTTGGCCTGTGTGTTTATTTTTAGCTTAAAATTCTTCTCTTATTGCACGTTAATACTTTCTTTACGCAATTAAATCTATAAAAACGGGTCGAATCTAAAATAATAATAAGTCCTTCACTGTATTAGTTGAATTTTGAATAAATTATTTCGAATTTTCAAATAATATATTATAATATTATACCTTTTGGTATCAAATATAAAATGTTATAATAAAGTCCCATTTTGTTATTTGAATTATAATAGGACAGTTATTTTGTGTTGAAACCAATATAATAAGATTAAGAAACATTATTATTTTATATGGTATTCAATTTTATTTCTCCGTATACTCACAAGTACCTACATTTAAATATGCTAGAATTTTATGCTGAAAACTCATTGGGTACTTAGCAGCAAACTATTTTAGTTAAAATCATATTTATCTCATTAGTGGGTTAATATTTATTTATTGAAGTATAAAAATAATTTAGTGATAATTTATATATTTAATATATTTCAAATTGAGTAGATATTAAATTATTGCACCAATATTTCACTCAAATTCATAATAGTTATCAAGCTTAAGATAAATGCTTTGRCATTCTTCATTTTTATTATCAATTAGGTAATGTATGTGTTTTGTCTTACATTAATACTTATATAAATGAAAAACATATTAAAATATTTTTGTTTAATTTAATATACTTGTTTGAAGAAGAATCGTCAATACCTATTAAACTAGAATACCTATGTAATTTACAAAGTATTGAACAATTTGTAGGTTCTTATTAAATGTATTTATTGAATAACCTATCTAGTTTATATAATGCGTTACACACATCATTAATTGATATTTCATTAAGTAGGTTAGACTGGTTTGAATAATCATATAATCATCATATGGAAAAATTATATGTTATACAATATCACCAAAATATAATACTAACGATTCTAAATTGAATTATTTATGAATATGTATAACATATATAATATGTACTTACACTATGTTATTGATCAATAATACCATAATAGAATAATAATACCTGTCCAATTTGAAAATAAGCATATATTTTTTAATTTTAGTTTTGCATAAATTTATTATTTAACACTTAAGCTTACCTACTTTTATTAATATAAATTGATAAACTGATGTATTTCGATGTTTATAAATTAAAAACAGATCCTATTTGGCTATTTCTATTTCAAAAGCCATAGTTGGAAAACTTAAGTGTTCAATTTTACTAATAAATTTTATAYCCCAATACTAATAATTACTTAAAAATTGGTATGCAGTTCACATACTAATTTAATTGTTTGTGTTATAATTTATAATTTATCAAGAAAAATTTGTTTGTGTTCTTGTTTTAATGAAATAATATTATAAATAATATTATGGTTCATGTTTATTAAAGTGTTTTGAAAGTACTTGATATAATACCATGGTCGTAGCCAGCAAAATAATTTTAGGGGTGAGTCTGAATCCTAAACCCCMTGACTACGGCCTTGTATAATACTTTTTAACAAGACATAAAGTGGACTTTTATGTTATACTATTGACTATTGTTATATTGTCCTAATGTGAACAACATTTGATCCTTAATTTGTGTTAAAAAGATTTAAATTTGGAAAATGATTTCCAATTTGAATGTTTCTTTTCAACCATGTAAATAAACTGTTCAATAAAATATATGGTGAGTAGTACATTCGTAGGAATCAACGTTTCATCATTAGCAGCACGTGTTACCATTATTTAAAGCTTTGCATTTTTAGTTATTGATTTTCATAGAAAGTTTATAATTGCACGCGCATGAACTGTAAATAAATGTTTTTCTAATTACTTTTAGCGACAAAATTAAATATTATATAGAAAAAGACATACAATGCTGTTCAGACAAATGAAACAAGTTGCAAGTGATAACATTAATGGGTAAAACAAAAATATAGCTATAGGTACGTACTTCACAATGTACAGTTTTCCAAAGTGTCACGTTATCACTAAAAACTTACGTTTTAGCCGTATCTTTAGAGATATTTCACAATATGTAAATATTGATCAGATTACTTTTATRACATAATATAAGAGTACATTTTAAATCCATAACATAATTGTATACGTATCTACAAAAAAATATAATAATTGTTTTAATGATGCATTGTACGCAGRAGAATGTATTAGATTTATTGAATTTATTTTATCTATGTTTTAATTCCTAAAACAATAGATGTTTCAAGTTAATACTATCCAAAAAAAAGAAATCTTGAGTCAACAACAAATATTGGTTTCTTGAATGCAGATGAATTCTGACTTCGATGGAATTATATTTTAAGTTATCAATTCAAWTTTAATACATTTTACACTCCTTGCGTACAATTAATTTTAAATATATTTTTTATTAAATGCCATAGAATAATAGGCAAGGTAAGGTAAGGTAAGTTAAATTCTATAGGGTACAACATGCTTTAACGGTAATTAAAATAATCATATAATATATTATACTATTATACTACTCTCATGTTTGGTCTTCACGTGACTATCAATTTCTTCAAGCACTATATGGCGATCTATGCCAATAATCTATTCTCTTCCAATGGTTATGATAATGTATAGTATTATTTTTTCTAAGGTAGTTCGATTAGATTAATATCGTTTATACTGACTAATTCCGTTGTAAAATTTTAAATTTTTTCATTCGTCATTTTATAGCGCCGGTCAATCCACTGAGGGTGAAGTGACCACGTTCATTGGTAAACTTGGACCAGGGCAAAAAGTTAGTCGACAGATATTGGGGACTCCATATCGAGGTGACGTTAAAATCGGATTCAATTTTTTCGTTAACTTTATGGAAGTCACTGTTTTTGAAGCCAAGGATCTAATTAATGTTAAAGAAACGAAAACAAAGCTTCCAGGTACAAAAATATGAAATGCATAATTATTTATTTTAGATTCAAAATGGATAAAAAAGAATTCTGAAGATAGTAGTCACGTACTGATTTAATTTAAATACCAATGTATTTGRACATTTTTTAATACAGATATTGTTTTGAGTTTGTATAATGTTAAAAAAAAATGTTATATGTTGACAGATACTTATGTCAAAGTATACCTTGTGAAAGGAAAAAAGTGCGTGGAAAAACATCGTACAAAAACAATTAAAGAGAGCTTGCAACCTAAATACATGGAAATGCTCAAATTTAAAAGTTCCCCAGCTGGTTGTTTAATCCAGGTATGCATGAAATGTTTCTTTTTTTAAAAATTATATTGCTATTAATTTGGTTAATAAGTATTATTTGTCAATTGTTTGAACAATTACCAAAAAATTTACTTAACTGTTAGCCATGAAATCAATATTTTGTGAATAAATTATTTAATGAAGCTATACATTATGCTGATTGATCTAATAGTATCAATAATAAATAGTTATTCTCAAAAAATTTTAGGTAAATGTATTACATTTCTTTTTCTTAAATGCACTCTTTTAAAAAAGCCATGATTTATTTGTTAAGGTTCAAGGAATCAATTTTTTTTTCTATTTTTCATATTTACTTTGACAGCTCTAGATTAATTAAAATTTTTATAATTTATTTATTTGAATATACTATGTGTGTATATATTTAAAATATTAAAATGTTGTGCAAATAATAAGCAAAGGAGAATTTAAGTAAGTATCGAATAATTAAGTAGGTATGCAAATAAAGTTATAAGTAATAATGATACTGCAATAAGGATTTTGTCCTGAAAATGAATATAAATATTTAAAAGTCGATTGTTAATTTAAAACATGCTGAATAGTGAATAGTAAGAAATTGCTTTTTTATCGACTGAAGTGGATTAATTGACRAGTTTCTGTTTTTAATCCGAGCGGAATTCAACCATTTCGCGATTTACGTAAAATACTATGACTGTCTCTATCTTAGAGCAACATACAATTAATATCACACTAATCGATTGTATAAATAAAACGTATTTTCTGAACATGCTATATTTATATACAATATATAACGATGATATTTAATATTATTTTACAGGTGTCGGTCTGGGGAGATTACGGACGCGAAAAAGGAAGAAAAGTATTCATGGGGGTGGCCGTGATTTATATGGACAGCATAACTACGAGTCCCGGATCGTCATTGACGGAGTGGTACAGGYTGTTCGGATCGTCGTCGTTGGTTAGTGTTAATGAAAGATTTCGAAATTCGTTTCCGTCATTGTATCCATGGTAGACCGTATTATAAATTTAATAGCGCCGTGGATCACCGTAGTCGTGTAATATTATTTAAGTAAAATTCAAAAAAAAAAAACTGTAGTCTGTATTTTTAACGTTGTATAAAAACAATTATTAATTACACGCATTTTAAGTATAGCAGTACACGAAACAAGAATATTATAATAATCATTCACTAACATAGTATTATATAATAGATATATATTTATGTATACGTTCTAGTTATCAGTATAGGAATAGTGTTTTTTTATTTTTTTTATTTTCAACAAATAGATATCCAGGAGGCATCGCTTTAATTGTGCCCGTCGGATCATATTGTTATGTCGTAGTAATTTTTTGCATGCGTACGCTAGGTACTATATATTATTAAATCATCGTATTATTACATTAATACTAAATGTGTATTAAAATGGTATAGTACGCGATGGAACTATACTTCAAGACAAGCTATAYGAGTATATGACTATAGATACATGAGACCTGAGACCCTTGTTCGAGTACATTATGTTTGGCGYGCATGGTATTTAATTTACCATTTTAATGGCACGTATTGTATATTATTTTTTTTTTGGCATTAATTATTGTTRTGAACTGTTTAAAATTCAAATGATCCATTTTATACATTTTTTTCTTATTAAAAAAAAATTAAATTTGAATTTTTTGATTGTTTCGAAATTTAAATCGTATCACGTCGAACTGAGACGCTATTAAATTTAAATWTTTTGTTTGATATTTCGCTTCACAGGGTACCCATGTCTGACTGGTTTCTATAAACATAATAATTTTGTTCGTCATTTACTGCTCATATATTATGCTGATTTTTTTTTTAATCGCAAATAAATATTGCACTATTTATCTCATAATGACATTACATACTAGCTTTTTAAACCACAAATAATATATACTTAATATATAACGCTTGAATTAGTTTTAAATTAAGAAYATAATTTTATACATTATACCTATGTGTGACGTATGGTGTGAGTGTACATACTAATATATTATTATTAAGTATAAGGTATTTAAACCTACAATTTAACGTTTATTAAAACTGTTAGGAATATTAATAATTATAATTAACTATTATAATTAAATGGGTTTCAAAACTTTCAATTTTAGATYCACATTGTGAACAATAGAAATAACAATCGTTTACAATGAAAACATTTTTATTAAAAAAAAAAATTCGAGGTTTAAAAATGTAAAAAATTGTTATTCTATATTATACAAATTTAAATCGTATATCAATTTGTGATATTCAAAAACGCAAAAAACTGCCAAAAAAAAAAAATGTTTGTAAAATGTCAGATTAATTCATCATAGGTAATGATTTTTTTACAATAGTGTCCTTACGACACTGTCCTAACTAAAATAAACTTATTTATTTTTAAGTCTAAAAAGATYTAAAATATGAAATGATTTGAAATAATTTTATTACTAACTTAATATTTTTTTYATTACATAATCGGAAAAAATAATTTAATTTAGTATAATTTTTTAAATGTAATCAATTAGATTTTAATATGACAAAAACATACCTAAAACAATTAGTTTTCTTACTAGTATAAGGTTTAACTATTAACATCAACTTATTCAMACGTAAAGTGTGTACACTTTTTAAAAATCTGTCCATTWAAAAAAAATAATATATTTGCACTAATATAAACACATTTAATATTATAAAAATTAATAACTAATTGATTACTATGGGTGATTTCGATTGATTATTATTCTATAATATACATTATTATCTATACAACATAACATAAACCCATTGTCATCAAAAGATTTAATATTTAACAAAAATATAATACATTTTATCATTTATRAGTACCTACTTAAGATTATTGAAACTCTCGTAATAGTATACGGCAATAGGATAATAATATAAGTTTTAACTATTTATTTTATATTAGCTACTTATGACAGCATTAAATCATTTTATAATTTAATTTCTGATTAATTATAACAGCTTATTTGAATCCTTTAATTTTATATTATATACATATAAATATATGTATGTTATGAAGAAAATAACTCAGCTATATTTGTTTCATGATTTTAAATTATTAGGTACCGTGTTAAAATTAAAACTTTTAAGAAACTTAAATTTATGATATTTTTTAACCAACAAATATATAWCCCTCGAAACACTAATAACGACGATACACAAAACACCTTATAATTATTACRGTGCGATTTGGATTTGTTTATTTTCAAATTTKCCAGATAGATTTATGAGTACTTAATAGCATCTKTCACATAAATTTCCTTACCTTATAGCCTTTATAGTTCACAATAATGACTTTAAAAATAGTACTGATAGCAAACATTAGAAAAAAAAAGATATAATATGAACAAAACTTAAACATTGGCAATAAACTGAAATTAAGAGGATACCATATCAGGTGTGCAGTCTAGCAGTCTCCGTCTTACAAATATACAAAATTTCAAATTTTAGATTCACAATAATACATTTCACTCTATAAATTCTAAAATTTGAGTGATTTGACCTGTTCTAAAATTTAAAGGTAAGATTATTATCTAGGGCATCTAATGGCTTTTATTGATATTGTTATAAAGAARAAAATTATGAATTTTTTAAACTTTACATTTTAAAACTAACTAAAAAATAATAATATAAAAAAATTCTCTAAGATGGCTTGGTTTATAATTTTTCATTTAATTTTTATCATGGCCCAGTTCAATCTTATTCTAAATATTAGTAGAATAAAATGGATTATTGTTAACGTGAAATTTKYTATGTTGTACTTTTTAAGGCGGAGGCAACACATGTGGGTGTGGTGTCTTCTTAATAATAATAATAATAGATGACTACTGAAGTATAACTACTGACAGTAAGCAAAAAAAATAAAACAARCAAAATTCAAAATAATGAAAACGATTTTATCTTTTTAGGAGAATTAAAATAAACAATACTGATAAGGCGATGCGTTAAACAATTTAAGAATGTATTATTGCCTGTTATACATCTAAGGGTGCAAAGCACTTCGAAGCATCCCCCAAATTACGCCTATGATGTTATTGAAGAATGTTTTATTTATATAAATATTTTAATTACTTATTGCATTTGTGTTTCTTTTTTTTGTTACCTGTCCTAATATTTTTTCTTCGTTTGTGTTTAATTTATGTTTCAGTGAGTTTTGTTGCTTCATTCTATTGGGTTTCTTCTTTGGTGGTTGCATGCAGACAACATTTTTTTGTTTTTAATTCCACTTAAAA